GACCTTGAGGGGTGCCATGGGCCTTGCAAGGACCCCATGGGCCTCGCACAGACCTCAAGGGGCAAGATGATGTGCAGACAGCTGGCGAACTTTGGGCAGGGCATGGCAAGGATCTCAAAGCTTAGTCAAAATGTAGAAGATGGACTATGGGAGCTTATGCTTTGTGTATCGCCCTCTCTTGAACGTCATATAAGCTATGCTACCCGCCCCCCAAAAAAACCTATGTACAACTTACAATCAAGTATAAATTCAGGCACAACCACTCTTAAGGATGCAGTAGACAGAATGCAGGTCTACAAGGAGACAATACAACTTCAAAGCACGGGCCCCAGCCCCGAGGCTGTACAAGGAAACAAAGATTCATGTGGGTATGTCAAGGATGCCAAGTTACTAGATTTACAATCTGCCTGCATGATTCACTTACAACTATAGTCTCTAGACCACCTGAACTCGTTTGAAATCACATCTTTCTTTTTCAGATCTCTTAATTTCATGAACAGTAAGTAAGGGCAGAGGGGGCTGGAGAGATGGCTCAGCAGTTAAGAGCACTGACTGCTCTTCCAGAGGACCTGGGTTCCATTCCCAGCACATACATGGCGGCTATCGACTGTCCATAACTCCAGTTCCAGGGGGAATTCGAGGCTATCTCTGCCCTCTGCAGGCACTGCATGACATGGGTGCATGTACATACATGCAGACAATACACTCATACACATAAAAATAAAAATATTTTTAAAAAAGACAAATGGCACTGAAAACAATCTAACCATTCCAAAAAGAAAATGATCAAACAATACACTCTCCTGCTAAAAAAAAAAAAAATACATCTAGATTAAAGATTTAATGTTTAAAATAATATGTGGGAGAGGGAACTCTGGTAAGTTTTTCTATGCACAGTAAAGATAAAGCCATAAAAAAAAATAGCCCATCTGAAAACAAACATATTCTACTTTACGCTACATATACTTTATGAACAAAATTTAAGTTTCTAGGTGGAGAGAAGTATTTCAGCAGACATGATCTGGACAATAATACTGAATTATTTAAGATCTCTCAGTAAAAAGTATACTTCTTTGGTTAGTCAAATGAGCAATCTCCAAAAATATGTAATGTTAATTACCAGCTTTTATTAAATACTATGAGTCAAGCCAATATTAAGTACTTAGGGTTATTTCTGTCCACCCAAATTCCTATATTAAAACCTCATCAGCAGTCAGGTGTGGAGGCGCACCCCTTTGATCCCAGCACTTGGGAGGCAGAGGCAAGCAGATCTCTTGAGTTCAAGGCCAGCAGGGTCTACATAGAGAGTTCCAGGCCAGCTGGAGCTACAGGTAAACCCTGCCTCAAAAGAAAACCTCATCATCAATGTGATGACTTTAGCTAGCTAGGAGATCAGGCCTTCAGTGGGTTATTAGGGCATAAGGGCTGAACCCCATAAATAAGATTACTGTCGGGGGCTGGAGATGGCTCAGCAGATAAGAACGTTGTTCTTGCAGAAGACATGGGTTCGAATCCCAGCACCCACATGGCAGCTAACAACTGTCTGTAACTCCAGTTCCAGGGGATCCGACAGTCTCTTCTGTCCTCTGCTGCCATTGCACAACACGGGTGCACTTACCTACATGCAGGCAATACACACATACACATAAAAAAAAAATATTTAAAAAAAAAAAGATACTGTCCATATAAACAAGGCTCTAGACATTTGTCTGGCCATGTGACAACATAAAAAGGTATCATCTATGCAACAGGAAGTGAGTCCTCATCAGACACCAAATCTTCAGGGAGGTGAATCCTAAAAAGTAGGGGGCTAGAGAGAAGGTTCAGCAGTTAAAAGCACTGGCTGATGTTGCAGAGGACCTGGGTTCAATTCCCAGCACCTACATGGCGGCCATCAACTGTCCATAACTCCAGTTCCAGGGAATTCAAGGCTCCCTTCTGACCTCCGCAGGCATTGTAAGACATGGGTGCATGTACATACATGCATGCAGACAACACACTCATACACATAAAAATAAAAATTTTTTTTTTAAATGAGTTTAGTTCCCAGCACCCACATGGCAGCTAACAACTGTAATTCCAGTTCCAGGGGATCTGACGCCATCTCCTGGCCACCACAGGCACTGCTGTGACATGTGCACTTTTGTATATGGAGGTAAAGCACTCATACACATAAAAAATTACTTGGTCAGAGGTGATTGTTAGAGCAGCCCAAAGAACACTTCACAAAGGTGTGAAGTAGAATCCACTATGTTATTCAATGAATTAAAATACAAGGTGTAGCAGTGCAGGGATGACTTTTATAATATGAATAATGAACATAATCTGGACTGATGGCTTTTCTTCTTTTCTTTGGTCTTTTTGAGACAGGGTCTCCCTGTAGCCCCAGCTGGCCTAGAACTTGCTACGTAGACAAAACTGGGCTTGAGCTCAAGAGATTCACCTGCATCTGCCTCCCAAGTGCTGGGACTAAAGGCATACACCACCACACCCAGCTTGAACTAATTAATAACTTTTAATTACTCCAGCAAAATCATGTGCTCTTGTGACTTCTGACCTGGACACCTGATCTTGTTTCCTTGGCAACCTAAATAGGGTACTCCACCCAAACAGACAATGAATGTGGGTATGGAGAATTAATGTATCAAAGCACTAAAGACAACACACCATGAGGACTGGGAAGGACACGTGACCCTGGGTGAATGAGATATTCTCGGACTAGGGATGAAAACGCAGGATAGCCTGTAAGATCAGGGTGGAGTCCAGCTTGTACTTCCAACTGAAGCTGGAGAATCCATTTTGAATAAAACCATGGGTAGGATCTGCCTCAAGGTCACAGTTCCAGAGTTCCAACAAGACAGTTCCAGGAGACAGACGGTTCTGGAGACATCTGGTGGGGAGAGTATCATCAGAGTTCAGGCCCACTCTTAAAAACTAAATTTAAGAGTCAGACTTTTTGTTCAGGTAATTGTAATGTTGGTGTAGTAGGACACAGTGCAGGTGATCCTGTTACACACCCCTGCATTAATAAAGCAGAGGGAGGGGACTTAACTAAGTAATTCAACTTTCTTTAGTGTTCAGTGCCCCAGTTCCTCTCTCCTTCAAAAACAGCTTTAGGGAAGAAGGAGGAAATAGTAGTGCAAAAAATAAAAATAAAAAAACACTAGTGTAAAAATATGGTCAAACCCCTCTCAACTCAATCAGTGGTTCTCTGGGTAAAGCACAGACCCCTGGACCTCACTAGCTTAAATTCTAGCAGGCATTCTAGCTTAACAGGTCTCTAGGACACAATGAACAGAACTTTTCCCCAAGGTCAAAAAACTGCTGAAAATTCAAATTATCAACACAATCACCATATCAGCTACAATTTTACTGTACCGGGTACCATAACAGGTACTATATTCTATACAGTCTATTTCTTTTCAATTCTCCCCAACAATCCATATCTGACTAATGAGGAAATGTGTTGAGTGTAAACACAGCCAGTCATGGCAAAGGAAAAGTACATGACTTAAAAGCCCTCATTTTTTCCAGTCTTTAAATTCTCAGTATATCCTACCAGTGTTCAAAGGACCCGGGAAAGAGGGCAACCTGAGATCTAGACAATCTGAAAAGGAAACAAGTGACAATCATTTCAAGACATGTATCAAAACATCAAGTTGTTGGCTTTAAATACATACAATTTTGGCAATTATATACCAACTTACCTGACAAATTAGGTACTAGTTACAGTGAAAAACTTAGTGCACAGAGCAGCGACATAATGTGACCAAAGTACCTTGCACAGTGCTGGACAAGGACCGGTTTGTCTGGCTCTTAAACTCATTTTCCCAAGACTAAAACACTGGAGGTGTTTTGTTGTTTGTTTCTGTGATGCTACATCTCTGAGCTACATTCCCAGCCCCAGATTTTAGTACCTAGACACTGTGTAACACAGGCTGGCCTGGAACGGTCCATTCTCCTGCCTACCTCCTGCTGAGATTACACATCAAAGTCACCACACCTGGCTAGAAATAGTTTCAACTATAGAGAACTACTTTGATAAGAGTCTTCGCTGAAAAACTGTCCTTAACCATGTTTACTTTAAATTGTTTAAGGAGTTGGAAGGATTTTTACCAGCATCTCTTGTTATGTACTTGTGGGGAATTAATACTTTCTGTGAAATGGGGTCAGTGGGATGTACTGCGTATAAACCTGGACCCTATATTTCTGACTGTAATCAATCATAGGGTGAAACTATAATCCACTTTTTTTAGGCTGCTTTGGTTTGGTCCCGCACCCCAACCCCTTTCCTTCCGGAAGTGACCATCAACCCTCAGGTACTACACAAAGCTCGGTACTCGCCTTACAATTCCTTTCTTCCTACACCATCTCCTGTTTGGAGGCAGGGCCTTGGGTGGTGCTCACAAACGAAGGTGTCCCATCGAGGCTCAGGTGTTGAAGTATTAGTTAAGTTACCAGAACATTTTTCCACTTAAATATCATGACTGTAACCCTGACAGTGATTTGTGCAAATCCGCTCCCATCAGTATGATACTTCATAATTCTCCTTCTTAAAAATAGCATCCATCCCGTAAAATAACCGGCCATACTAAGTATCACTCCACCCATCCCATACAGAACCGAGCATGCTATCACTCATGTTTAACTCAAGGTCCCGAGAGTTGCAGAAGGAAACCACACAGTTCGCTTTATGCCACGTCCGGATTTAAAAACGGCCATGAGGAAAACGCTAAGCGCTATCAGAGAAAATGAAGAGCCCAGGGAGGCGCCGGCAGACAGTTAAATACCTCGCTTTTCCCATGGAAACCGCAGGCGAGCCCCCCAGCCACGCACAGCAGGGCGCCTGCGGGCGCCCCGACTTCCAGCGAACCTTCGGGAAAGCTGCAAGTTAACTGCGTTTCTAACTTCTGTACGGACCAGGGAGACGGCAAACCAAGCGCTCGGAGGGGACCCCGCCCGCCCCACGGAGGCCTCCAGCCCCGCGCCGCGGCCCGTACCTGCCCGGCCGGCCCGCGTTGCCAGCGCCTCTCCCGCCGCCCGCCAGCCAGGAAGCCGCCGCGGCCTGCGGCCTCCCGCCGCCCGCTCCTTCCTCCAGGGACACGGCGAGCTGACTGAAGGCGTACAGCAGAGAGCAGAAGCCACAGGCCAGGCAAAGCCCCACAATCCGCAGGTAACGCCGC